CTTGAGCTATTGCTAAAATGCCACATTGTTCCTTTGGGAAATCGTCGGTGGGGTGCTTTGAATTCTATTCTTTACACAGACTTCTCGAGAAATTTTCGTCTTCAAAGAATATCCAGTTCTGTACACGTTTTTCTTATCGATGTTTCGGAGCCCTTTATATGTCAGCCATTTATCTGAATTTCTATTTTCTCCTGTACCTAACAACATTCTTGATGTAATAGATGAGATAGGTTAGTAAAGAAACGTAGAAGCTAAGATTCTTGACGATAGGGATGACCTACTTCATCATGTAGCATTTTTACAATAAATTTCCCCATTTCAGCATTTATTCGCTCTATACTGGGATTCATCCTCTTCAGCACGTCATACTGCATTGTAAATACTGGCATATATTATACTTTTGTAAGGCCGATACGTCGGGAGGAACGAGAGCAATTAGAACGAGAACTTATTGAAGCTGATCGAGCAGGATTTGCTTTGAACAAGTTAGTTTCCAGTTTAATATGATTGCAGTTTTAGTTCAATCAAATAGTATCTTCTTCTTTAGTTTCTTTCCTTACACATATGTATTGGTAATTGCCATCAATTTCTCAATCACCGACTGCTGTAGCTTTTCTCGTTATTGTACAATGAAGAATTATGTAGTGTTTCATGTCTTTTCATACAAATGAGGAGCTTATCGAGGGTGTGATTTTACCAGCTCGAAACAAGTTTGGGAGGTTTTTCTGACTGTTTAGCTGAAATCGTCCTGCTAAAGTTAGAATTGTAGTTAAACTGAAGAGGGTTTCTTAACTCCTTCTATCGATGAAGCAACCACCTTTTTGCAGATGAACCTTCCTCGTTTTATAAGCACTTTGTCTTCACGATGGGAAGGCATATTTCTTATGGGTGTCGCCGCCGGCGCAGGCTTTGAACTCTTCAAGATATACTTCTCGTTTAGAGGTATGGTCTGCTCAGTCTCTGTATCTATCTTTGTTCTTTCAGAGTAGTTCAATTCTGTTACCCCAAACGTCTTTCCTTGCATTTTGACAGGAAATTTTGCACTTGTTATCATACATTCGGCACGTCTTAAAGGCAGCGGCTCGGCAGAATTTCGTTTTCCAGTT